GTATATGATATATATATTTACATATATCTTACACATATCGGGTACCTGATTTTCTGCATTAATACTACACATATCGGGTACATATCTGATACATATCTGCTACCCGATATATTGGTTTTTGACCAGTCTTATTAATATAGGCACTCCCGATGTCTCTATGGGCTGGTCTTGGATGCAAATAGTCCCTGATGCAGGTTTTCCTAACTCTATCGCCACTTATGCTCACGGCCTAATACGAGATAATCCCTCTTCTTCTCGAGCTGAGGCTGCTGCTATTTATGCAGTTTTAACTATTTCTCCACGTGACTCTGAAGTTACTATTTATACTGACTCGCAAACTGCCATTGATGACCTTCGAAGTTGTTCTTCTTTTGTCTACTCAAACAGTCGTCTGTACTACAAAACTACAAATTTTGAGCTTTGGGCGATTATTGAGCGAACCATCCTTTCCAAAAATCTGACAGTTTTTCCCATTAAAGTTAAAGCTCACTCCGGCAATTATTTAAACGATTTTGCTGACTCCTTGGCCAATACTGCCCATACCGCGTCATCTAGTATTCTGATCTCCGGAATAGACCTGGCCGCTGCCCATGACTTTGTCTTAATTTATGATAACGATGTTGTCTGTGAATCTAATCCGCGACACCTTCTCAAACTATTTTATCAAACGCAGTTGATGCGCGATTTGTTAAATTTAACGCGATTTCACTTTACTTCTTTATTGTCATCTAATATAGATTATATTGTTGACTGGGAACTTACTTGGTTTACTTTAAATTTCAAGCCCTCTCATGATGCATCTTTTACTCCTGACCACGCATCAAGACACTTAACCTTTAAATTCAAACTTTTCTTGGATGATTTGCCTACTTTGGAAAAGCTGAAACGGACTCGACCAGATTTATACATGGACGAATTAACTTGACGTTCTTGTATCGACCGCATGGAAGACTTGATGCACCTCTTTATGTGCAAAAATCGTCGTCTACTTATGCAACAAATTCTTCAATCTTATCAAAATCATTTGATTTCTAAACTTCTGGCCGCCGGAAACATGGCTGACATTGACCCTACTCCACTCATTGCTAAACTTACTTCTCTTTCATGCTGGTCGTTTTCTTCCACAAATTGGTCCTCTTATGCCCTTGCCCGTGGTTGTTTGCCTAAACTTTTTATTGACTTATTTGTCGATTTATCTATTTCAAGGAACTCTGCGATTAAGGTTATCGTGGCCATTCACAACCATTTTGTTCATAAATTCAGACGACGAATTTGGAATCCGCGCTCTTATGATAAAAGCCGATGGGAAAACGCGATGAACATTACCTACAAGTTGAAAACTACCCCAAAGCCTTCTAATTTGCCTTTGTCAACGTACATACCTTACTCATCTTTACCACCTCCGACCCTACACGATTCACGTGACTTCGAAACCGATTGGTTAAAAAACTCGATTAATTATGGTTTGCCTTGGTTTAATCATTTTTCGGGTTTTATGGGTCGTCTAACGGTGCTACTTAATAACAGCTTTTGCAGGATGGAGTGTCGATTTTTATAGTGGGCGCGCTATTCGTTATTTTATTAGCATAGTTGCTTCTACTTTGGTTGAAATATATCAAGGGGGAAGGTCTGGGGAAATTTAGTGTAATGCGATTTTTCTTTTTTAGATTAATTTTTTTTACTTTATTTTTTCTTAGGAGACTATATAGCTTTGTTTTTAGTTAGTTTTATTTTTATATTTTTCTTTTTATTTTTGTAAAAATTGTAAAGTTCGAATAAATTTAATAAAGATAAAGGCTACTATGCCATGTTTGCCTGGTTTTTGACCAGTGTTAGTGTGTTTCATGAAGAGTGATGAAAGGATAAATTTAACTGCGGAAGCAGGAAGACGTATACGTTCAAGGGCGAAATGTAACATTGTAAGATCGACTGAATCAAAAGCTTTGGAAATATCTTGAGAAAGAATCTAAAGTGGGTTTTAGTTGACATCAGCATCATGGATAATTGACTCTAAAGTGACGATAGGGTCGCGGTAAGAACTACCAAGTAGACCAGCGAAGTTACCACCTTTTAAAACATCATGTGAGGCCAAAATAGTAAAAAGACGATTATAAAAGAGTTTGACAAGAGATTTTCTAATCACTTCAAGTAAGGTGATAGGACGAGTGTTCTTTAATTGACACTTCTATTCGTGAGGTTTGGGAATAGAAAAGACCATTGCTTATCACCATAAGTCGGAAATATCAGCTTTGGAAAGGCAGAATTGAATCAAGATAATGAGTAGGGCTGAAGTACGAGGTCCAAGATGTTTGAGCATTTCATAAGTAATCATGGAAGGACCAGGAGCTTTGTTGTTAGGAGTAGAAGATACTGTAGATAACCATTCATCAAAAGTAGGGGAATTCATTAAAGAATCATAGATGGAGGAGGACACATTATCAATGGGTTGATAAGCAGATGATCATCTATCTGGTAGTATGTCGATAGAGGTAGGGGGAGTGGATTTAATCAGCACAAAATTTTGGAAATGGTTAACAACAGTATCATTTATGTCCTTAAGATCAGTAAGTAGATGAAGTCGAGTAGAATGATCAAGAAGGACACGATCTAAAGTGATACAGCAACGGGTGCGAGAAAGTGCTGATTCGATAAAAAAAGAAAGGTCAGTTTCAAAATTATTATTTTTATTATCTAAATGAGCACGGATAGAAAGGTCTTGAAATTCTTTTTCTTAAAGCAGGTGAAATCTCCGTAAGAATTTTGAGATGGTGGATAAAGTATCAAGAAGTGATTTGAAATCATCTAGACGACATGATGAAAGGGATAAAGGGAAAGTGTGACTGAAAGTAAACACTTTCTTATATAATTGAAGAATGTTTTGGAGTCTAATTAAATGAATAGACCACTTATGTTCGTGAGCAGCGGAATAAGTTAAAGGATATTTGCGCAATAGATGTATTGAGTGCATTAGGCAATTTAAAAACTGATAGTATTGAGTTAATGTTTCCAGTTCCTTAGGGACTTTAGAAGTATAATTATTGCCAACTGTAGAAGAAGGTAAAATGGCATTAGCAGCTTTGAGGATACGTGATTGAAGATATTTGCACATTTGATTGATATGCCAGGAGGAGAAGACTGAAGGTGAGACGTCACAATAAAACGTCAGCTTTGTCAGTGAATTCTGTCTATTGGAATTCAGTAACAGAGTCAAATTTGAAGACGCAGCGGGTTTGGCGCTTAAGTTGTCGAGTGCGAGCCAATTTGGTGGAGGCAAATAGTAGAGACATATCATAATATGTGATAACAGGATTATGATCAGGTGTACAAATGTCTTGAGCATCAAAGATGCAGGTAGTAAAAGCGAATCCTTTAAGAAGAGGGCAAGACCAAACATAGTCAACACGTATAATTTAGTCATTACGTTGAAAGGTACCTAAAGAGTTGGAAAGATTAATAGGAGTATAATCTTCATATCTATGAGAAAGGAGATGATAAAATAATCGGTGAATATGTTTAGAAGTAAGTTGAAGTTGATTAAAGTAAATAGGGTAATATTTATCTAAATGCATATTAAAGTTGCCACAAACAGCATGGTAAAAACCAGCTTGTTTAGTGAGAATAAGTTGTTGAATAAGCAAATTAATAGTGTCAGAGCGCAAAACTTTTTTAGCTGGAGGAGGAATATAAACTACAAATATGCGCAATTTAACGTTGCCTTTAAAATATAGATCAATGGAAAGTAAACACGAAGAATGGGATTTAAAATCTTGGACATGAGAAGCAAAGGAATTCCCTATTAAAAGGGAAACACCACCAGAGAAAAGAATTTGTTTAGAAGTATCCAAGTCTGAGGAAAAAATAGTATAATCAATAATACGCTTGGATAAAAATTTTATTTGTTTAGGGTAAGGATGGGTCCACAAATAATTTCCAAAATCCGCAATATTGCAGATTTTGGAGTTGAATTGCGGTTAGTAACCCACAATTCCGCAATTCTGATTGGCTGATAATTAAATTTTTTTTTAATGTCTTTAAATGATAATTTAATCAAAAAAAAAATTTTTAATAAATTTATTTATTTATTATTTATTAGAAACAATAAAACCATAATTTCTGAAATGGTGCAACTGCGTCAAAAACTAAATCAAACACAGATAACAATGACGAACTTAATACTACTAATCAAAGTTCCGGCCAGAATCTACAAAAAAAAGTAGTGAAAGAACGTTAATAACGTTCTTACATAAGAAAAAACACAAAAAACCCTCCGCTTTCTCCTCTAGAAACACCTATCGGTCTCCATTTCCAAGTTCTAGGCTGGAATCTACAAAAAAAAGAAGAAAAGAATGTTAATAAACGTTCTTACATAAAAAAAACAAAAAACTCGCTTCCCCCTTGAAAATACTCACCGGTCTCCATTTCCAAGTTCCAGGCCGGAATCTACAAAAAAAAGAAGTAAAAGAATGTTAATAAATGTTCTTACATAAAAAAATCCAAAAAAACCCTTGCTTCCCCTCTGGAAACACCTACTGGTCTCCATTTCCAAGTTCCAGGCTGGAATCTACAAAAAAAAAAGAAGAAAAAAACGTTAATAAACATTCTTACATAAAAAAAACAAAAAAACCCACTTTCACCCCTTTAAAATACTCACAGGTCTCCATTTCCAAGTTCCAGGCCGGAATTTACAAAAAAAAGAATGAATTTTTTTAAAATGAAAAAAAAAATATTTAAAATTGCGCAATGCAATTAGTTGATTTGTACTATGCTGTCCGATAATCTAATCCAGATCATTAATAACCGTTGAATTAACCGGTTGATATGTTTCTTCTAAAAAATAAACTAATTTTTTTAAAAAATTTTATTAATAAAAAACCGAATTTTTTTTACTTTTAGTAATAACAAGAAATCGGTTTCTTTATTAGTTAATTATTAAAAAAATTACATTTATTAAAAATAATTATTCTTTTTTTTGCGAGCAATCTGCAATTCTGCAAATGTTCCGCAATTCCATAAAGTACCGCAATTCAACCGCAATTGAATTGCGGTACTTTGGATTATTTGCGGAATTGCGGAATATTTGCAGAATTGCAGACAATTGCGAATTGCAGATTTGCGGATATTTAGACTTCAAAATCTGCAATGTTCCGCAATACTGCAAATCGCAATTATTCTGCAATTGCCTATTTGCGGCACCATCCTTAGTTTAGGGTAAAGATGAGTATCAACGATACCACCGAAGGAAATATGTTTAAGGGAAAAAAAAGAAGAAATTTGTTCTATTTTAGTTTGATCATGCATTCTAAGGCCATTAACATTAAAAGAGGAAATATTAAAAGAATTAGGGATAGGGGAAGTGTTACTGGGAGAAAAAAATAAAGATTCATGTGAGAAGAAATCAGTAACAAGATCAGAGTTGAGAGGGTTTTGTACAAAGGTATCATAATTAAAATTATTATCCAACATTAAAACACAATGATAAAAATAGCCAGGGAGATAAAATTTCAAAAAGAAAATTAAACAGAAGAAGCTGAATCATCAGCTTGCTCCAAGGAAGCACTACTAATGAAGCTAATGAATTATTTGATATGGCCAGTAAGCTGGTCCAGTTTACTTTAATAACAACTCTACTATTCTTGAAATCGTTAATTTCATCTTGCGTAGAGGAGATAGGAGTAAATGGAGGAGCACTTGGAGAAAGAAGAGAGGAGGAGTGCAGCAAGGTAGGAGCAGGAGCAATGGTAGTTGAAGAAGGTTGAGGCTGCGTTAAAATACTTTTTGGAGGAGAAAAAGATTTAGCTGACGGCTGAATGTTGAGCAGAACATGGGATACAGGAGCATCGGTAGTTGAAGAAGGTTAAGGCCACGTTAAAATACTTTTTGGAGGAGAAAAAGATTTAGCTGATGGCTGAATGTTGAGCGGAACATGGGATACAGGAGCATCCACTGGTCAAAATAGTCCAAATCGGCCAGAAATCGGATGTCCGATTTTAAGCTGAATTTGGTGATAAAGATGGCCAATTTATTAATTTAGGTAAAGTTCCGATTGGCAGGCCAATTGACGCTGATCAGAATATCGAATTGCTTAGTATTTTTAATCTGAATTGTTTAAAAAAATATATTCATAAATTTACCGAATTGCAGTGAATTTATTCTGAATTATGATAAATTTTGATAAATTGTGATAAATTTTAATCTGAATTGCAGTAAATTTTAATCTGAATTACAGTAAATTTTAATCTGAATTGCGGTAAATTTTCTATTCTGAATTGCGGTAAATTTATTCTGAATTGCAGTAAATTTTCTATTCTGAATTGCAGTAAATTTGCAGTAAATTTTATTTTGAATTTATTCTGAATTGCAGTAAATTTGCAGTAAATTTATTTCGAATTGTAATTAATTTTTTTCTGAATTAAGACAAATTTATTTTGAATTATGGAAAATTCTAATACTAATAATTTGGAATATTAATTATATATATATATATATATATAGATTTTTGACGAAAAAAAGAAAGTTTTCTACCGAATTAATTCAGATTTGTTCATTGCGCGTCGTCTATATGTAAATCAGAATCTGAATTATTATGATTATTGCCGACCGTTGATTTGATGGTTTTTCTTTTCCTTCCTTGTTATGGTCTTCATCATTTTCGGTGGTGTTGCCAGTTGCTGGTGTTGTCCCTCTACTAACTTCTTCTACTTCATCATATTCAGTGTTGAAACCCTGATCGACATCAGTATCGCATATTAAATCTTGTTGTTGTACAATATAAAACCATTCAAGAGTATTCGACGGATATGGTCAGTCGTATTTTTGTACTTCATCATCATATCTATGTTCGCGTATTAATTTCGCCTTATTTAATGAGTGTACATCAAATACATTTCGTAGCAAATTTTTAAGCTGAAGAAACAATAAAATATAAAAATTAAATCCAGCAATTCGTCTGAAAAATCAAGATTCAGAAGTTCTAACCTCATCAGATCTCCACGAATAGTCGTAAATAGCGATTATGGACTTTGTTAGGTCTTCTTCGTCTGTCTCGCTTATTTCTGGAGAATGAAATAAGCGATTGGATAACATCTTTAGTAATCTATGCTTATCATATTTTGTTATCCGTTCATCGTCAAAACTATATAATCTCTTTGCCACCTTTATTCAGCGGATTTTCTTCTAAAATACGTTATAATTTGAATAAAATTTAATATATAATTGGAATAAAATTCAGCATAATAATTATAAATTATTACTAACGTCATGTACTCGATTGTTTGAGTACACCTGGTGTTTATTTTCATTGGCTTTTTCCCTATCCATTAATCTTTGATGAGAATAACTAGACTTGTGGAGACAACCCAACCATTTTGTAAGTTGCTTATTCAAAGCGGGAAAACATGGAGCAAGAGCTGAACGCAATTCAGAGACTAGTTTATGACGAATCTTGAGATTTTTCACGCTATTGAACGTTTTATTGTAATCTAGTCCTCGAGTTTCATCGATGATTTTCAAAATAGACTTCATTTCAACCTAAATATAACAATCAAATAATGATAACTGGTACTTAATTACTCAATACTGCAATTTTAAATAACTGAATCAAACAAATAAAATTAATATACCCCAACTTCTTTTTTGTCGTACTCATCATTATTGTTAGAACCAGACCTTTCTTCCTCCAATTTTTTCTTGTATCGCTCGAACTTTTTGTCTTAATTCTTTTTTGACGTTTTGCCGGCTATTCGAGATCTGTCTGCCTATAAATGGCTTTAGGCAGGCAGATTTTTGAATACCTGTTTAAGCTTTCATGTAGATCGTCATTCTTGTCTGCAAAAGCCTCATTTACTCAAGTCAAAAAATGATTTTTGTCAAATAATCGGTTATTTTCGTGTTGAAGCCTTGCATTCTCTACTTGTACTTCATCAATTCGTTTCTTTAATTTTAGATTTTCTAAATAAAGAATTTTATTAATAGTAATATTTTTTTACGAATAATTCTGAATTTATACGAATGAAGTCAAAATCGTACCTGCTTCTAAATCAGTATCGTCATCATCAATCACTTTTTCATTACCTTGATCGTCTTTAACCACTAATACGAATTTTTGTGGAATTCGAATATTCCCATATCATTTTTTATTTCCGATAACATCTCTTGTTGATCTATAAAATTATTAATTATCGTACATGTCAATCAGCAATTTTCCAAAATTCAATTACCTTTTATAGGAATATTTGGCGGTTCAATTTCTATAACCTCATCGTCAGACTCTTCTTGAGTCAGCTTAGTCGACTTTGCAGATTTGAGGGTCGACTTGATGGGTGTCGATTTGCTAGTCGACTTATTGGTCTTGTCACTTGTCTCATTCAGATCACTTTCTTCTTCCATTCTTCCCTGTTGACGCTTAGATCCTTCGCTCGGTGTTTCTTCTTGAAACCTTTGCTGCTTTTGTTTGTTTAACTTGGTGAATGACGATTTGCTAGTCGACTTATTGGTTTTGTCACTTATCTTATTCGGATTACTTTCTTCTTCCGTTCTTTCTTGTTGATGATTAGATCCTTCGTCAGGTGTTTCTTCTTGAAACTTTTGCTGCTTTTGTTTGTTTGACTTGGTAGATGACGATTTGCTAGCCGACTTATTGGTCTTGTCACTCGTCTCATTTGGATTACTTTCTTCTTCCATTCTTTCCCATTGACAATTAGATCCTTCGTCAGGTGTTTCTTCTTGAAATCTCTGTTGCTTTTGTTTATTATTTTTTTTATTGTTTTTTTTTATTATTGCTATTATTTGACATTTTGATATTCACTCAATATTCGTTTAAAAAATTGAAGCAGGTTCAATATCGTCATATCGTCCTATTTATAAATTTAAAAAATCAAATCAATTAATAATAAGAAAATCGTTAGCGTTCTACTGTGTTGACTTCTTAATTGGAAAATCAACTATAAATCATAATTAAAAAATCAAATCAATTAATTAAAATTAAGAAAATCGTTAACATCCTACTGCGTTGATTTCTCAATTGACAAATCAACTATAAATCATAATTAAAAAAGACAAATCAATTAATAATAAGAAAATCGTTAGCGTTCTACTGCGTTGACTTCTCGATTGGAAAATCAACTATAAATCATAATTAAAAAATCAAATCAATTAATTAAAATTATACAGGTCGAAATATAAAAAATCAGTCACCAATCGGTTATATGATTGATTGGTGGCTGATTTGAAGCTGATTGGTTATATATTGGTGACCGATTCTTTTAATCTGTCACCAATCGGTCACCAATCAGGCATAAATTGCCAATCAGTCATCAATCAGTCATATGACTAATTGGTAACTGATTGGTTGCCGATTTGTTTACAATATTTGATTTACATATTAAAGTTAAAAAATTAGCATTATAGTCATGTAAAGCAAGTCAAATTATACTTAATCTGAGCTTTTGAGTTTGTTTTGATAAATATATTAAGTTTATTATTGACAATCAGTTACCAATTGGTCACCAATCTGACATAGCCGATTGGTGACTGATTGGTGACTGATTGGTTTACAATATCTGATTTACATATTAAAGTCAAAAAATTAGCATTATAGCCTTGTAAAGAAAATCAAATTATACTTAATCTGAGCTTTTGAGTTTGTTCTGATAAATATATTAAGTTTATTATTAACAATCAGTCACCAATTGGTCACCAATCTGACATAGCCGATTGGTAACTGATTAGTGACTGATTGGTTTACAATATCTGATTTACGTATTAAAGTCAAAAAATTAGCATTATAGCCTTGTAAAGCAAGTCAAGTTATACTTTATTTGAGCTTTTGAGTTTGTTCTGATAAATATATTAAGTTTATTATTGACAATCAGTCACCAATCGGTCACCAATCTGATATAAGCGATTGGTGATCGATTGGTTACTGATTGATTTGTAATATCTGATAGTTTTTAAGAATTCAGGATTTTTATTTATTACTTTAATATGTAAAATTGGATCAATGAAAGAAAATCGGCTACCAAATTAATAGCCGATTAGTGACCGATTGGCTTTTAAAAAAACATTCATTTAATAAAGATAAATGGCATTCTGATTTACAAATTTTTTATTTTTGGGTCATAGTTTTCGTCCAAAAACCTGAAAAAAAGATGAAAGAAACGTTTAATAACATTTCTTAAAGAATTAATAAAAAACCCCACTCTCTGACCCTCTTTTTACCTAAATTCTAAAGTCCAGTTCATAGTTTTCGTCTGGCAACTTAAAAAAGAAAAAAAAGAAGCATTTAGTAACGTTTTTTAAAGAATATAATAAAAAAAATCCACTTCCTGACCTCCTTTTTTACCTAAATTCCAAAGTCCAGTTTGTATTATTCGTCCGGCAACCTAAAAAAAAAAGAAAGAGAAGCATTAGAACGTTTCTCTTAAAAAAAAATATTATCCCTTTCCTCCTTCACTTTACATAATTCCAAAGTCTGGTTCGTAGTTTTCATCTGGCAACCTAAAAAAGAAGCATTTAGTAACGTAATAAAATAAAAAAAACCTACTTCCCAACTCTCCTTTTACCTAAATTCCAAAGTCTGGTTCGTATTATTTGTCCGGCAACCTAAAAAAAAAGAAAGAGAAGCGTTAGAACGTTTCTCTTAAAAAAATAAAATATTATTCTTCTTCTCCTTCACTTACATAATTCCAAAGTCCAGGTCATATTATTCGTCTGGCAACCTAAAAAAAAAGAAAGAGAAGCGTTAGAACGTTTCTCTTAAAAAAAATATGTTATTCCAGTTCATAGCCGGTAAGTTGATAAGTCAAATCGGGTAGCAATCGGTTAACAATATAATATTGACCGATTGATGATCAATTTCTTTTCCTGCAATTTGTATCACTCGTGAATTAGGTGAGATGTGATCCGTAATCTAGATCAGGATAATCCAATTTGGAAAAAAAAAAATTTCTTTTTTATGGACGAAAAAAATTGCTGGACTTTGAGAATTGAAGTAAGAGAGGCGTTTTTCGTTGTTTTTTTTTAATAAATTAAACTAATTTATTTTTCTCTTTTGTAGGGTTACTGGACGAAAACTGGACTCTTGGAATTGAGGTAAGGGAGGGCTGAGGGAGAAGGTTTTTCATTTTTTTTTAATATATTTTTTTCTTTTTTGTAGTGTTGCCGGACGAAAAATATTGCCAGACTTTTGGAATTAAAGTAAGGGAGGGCTGAGAGAAAGCTTTTTTGTTGTTTTTTTTTAATAAATTAAACTAATTTGTTTTTTTCTTTTTTATAGAGTTGCCAGACGAAAATATTGCCGGACTTTTGGAATTGAAGTAAGGGAGGACTGAGGAAAAGCTTTTTCGTTGTTTTTTAATAAATTAAACTAATTTATTTTTTTCTGTTTGATAGAGTTGCCGGACGAAAAACATTGCCGGACTTTGGAATTAAGGTAAGGGAAGGTCAGGGAAAAGAGTTTCGTGATTTTTTTTTTTAAATAATTTAATTTATGTTTTTTCTTTTTTTAAGGTTAGCCAGACGAAAAATATGATCGGATTTTTGGAATTGAGGTAAAGGAGGACTGAGCAGAATCTACTTTTTTGTAAGGTTGCTGGACGAAAATATACTAACGTTTCATTCCTTTAGACTAATTTGAATCTCGATAAAAAATAGAGTTGTTTCTTTTCTAAGCGAGTCCAAGGCATTGGGAAGTTTGACTGGAACCTGGAATTTTTTAGACGTTTCTGGATCATTGATTTCGGTGGGACAGAGCAATTTTTTTTAAAAAAAAAAATTTTTTTTATAACAAAACGCTCACTAACGTTTCAATTTTTTTTTTTTGTAGATGGTGATATTGGAATTCAGTGAATTTATTATTCAAAATATATTGTGAAGGCAATTGGATGATGATTATCTAACGAAGATTATGTTATGGAGTCTTTGAACAAGAAAATTTAAAGGTTCTTAAGATCTCCTTAAACGTAGGTATCGTTATGTTTATTTTTTTTTTAAAAAAAAAACAATCTTTTTTAATGAATCGTTTATTAAAATGTTTCGTTTATTTCATTTTTATAGACAACCGATTCTTTGTTATCTTTGGACATTGATTTCGGTAAGGGTAAATATTCTTGGATTATTTATTTAATTAAATAATTACTAATGTTTGTTTATTTAAAAATCTTTTAGACAGCTTTTCTACTCTTTGGACGTGGAAATTTGGTGAGTATGATGTTTCTTTTAATTTTTTATTCTATCTTTTAAAGGACATTAACTAATTTCTTTTTTTTTAGATGGTTTGTTTCTCAGCTCTTTGGATGTAAAATTTGGTGAGAACATCCCTTTAACAAGACGTTTTGTATTCCAGGTCTTTAGATGAGTGAAAACTTTCGTAGGGATTAGGCCATCGAATATAAATCTACTCCACTCTTCCAACACTTTCGCCGTCTTTTCCATTCCTTTTCCATCCCTTTTCACACTTTCGTCTCCCCTTTCCCATTCTTTTTTCCTTTCCATCTCTTTTATCTTTTTTAGACGACTTTTCAGCCCTTTGGATATGGCATTCTGGTAAGTTTTGTAATGGTTCTATAAGGTAAAATCAAATATTAGTCCAAGATGGTTTTCAGTATATAATAAGGTAAAATTGTTTATATTTCTGAACCTGTATAATATTTAGTCATTAGCAAATTAGATTTTTTCAATAACGGGTTTAATAACATGTTTTAAAATATTTTTTTTTATACAGTTTTTATAAACCAGTTCAAAACTCTTTAAACTCCATATGGGAAGGGTTATATGGGATATCTGATGGAAAATTTTTTTTAAGAGATTTTCTAAAAGTTCATATGGAAAGGATTCGTATGGGATATCTGATAGAAAATTTTTTTTTTGAGAGATTTTTTAAGATTCGTATAGGATATTTTTGATAAATAAAGATTTTTTTTTTTAAGATTTCTAAGTGTTCGTATGGGAAGAGTTCATATGGAATATTTTGATAAAGATTTTCTAAGAGTTCGTATGGAAAGAGTTCGTATGGGATATTTTAATAGAGATTTTTTTTGTGAAATTTTTTAGGGTTTGTATAGATGTTTTTGATAGAAAATTTTTTTTTGAAATTTTCTAAGATTCGTATAGGAAATAGGAATTTTTTTTGAAATTTTCTAAGAATTTGTATGAGATATTTTTAATAGAGAATTTTTTTAGAATTCAAACATTAAATAAAAAATAATATACTTTTTATTAAATTTATATTAAATAAATTAATATTATTAAGCAATTTTAAAAAAATTTAGGTCTCCGAAAGTCAAGGTAAAATTTAATACAAATTTAAAAGGTCATTATATATAAGGTAAAATAATGAGATGAGTGAATTTGAAATTTTCAGTTTCTGGAGATGCGATATTTATCTATTATATCTATTATTAACCAATTAAAATTCGGTCTGATCTTTATGCACGTGATCTGATCTTAACATGCATATAAATTACCAAACTCAAGTTTGTTTATTTTTCAAAAAATATACACGCTCTTTCTTTTTTATTTTTTTTTTACTCTCTTTACATTTTACAGGTATATTAATTATTGTATTTTTGTCATTAAATTTATTGTACTGACTATATTTTATTTTATAATATTAACTTTATCACTTTTTAATATTACTAATGTAACGTTATATTTCTTTTATTTTATATTACTAATGTTATTCTTTTTTTTTATATTTTACTAACATCATCACATATTTTTCTTTTTTTTTTATCAAACTCTTCATAATACTAACTTTGTATTTGTATTTTACTATGATTACTAACTTTTATATTTACACTTTACTATTTATTAAATATTACTAACTTTATCAGTTATATTCTAACATCTGTTTTCAAATATTACATCATTTTGTATGTAGTATAAAGTATTTAAAAAAGATTATGAATGGTTTTTATTTAAATAAAGACACTATGTATTTTATTATTTATAGAGTTTATAATTTTAATAAATATTATAATGTGCTGTAATAAATTTTATTATTGGTTATGTGATTACTACCATAAATTAACCCATAAATTGACCATAAATTGACTATCGATTAACCATAAGTTGACCATCAATTGACCATAAGTTAATCATCGATTGACCATAAGTTGATCATCAATTGACCATAAGTTGACCATCGATTGACCATAAATTGACCATCGATTGACCATAAATAGACCACCAATCGGTCACCAATCGGTCACCAATCTGTCACCAATCTGTCACCAATCTGTCACCAATCTGTCACC